AGAGAAGGAGTTTTCAAGCGCCCCATAGAACATGATTGTGCCATCTTCCCTTCTCATCTCTCTCTCCTATTGTGATTTTTGGGCATGCATGCAGACACGCCCAGTGTGTTTTCAAGCCACTGGGTCCAAGACTCAAACTGCACGGTCAGCCCTGTGGGATCTAGCCACTTTAAACACCAGCCGTCTGGGATAAAGCAAAAATCTCTAAAAGAAAAATTTGCTAGAGGCCATGTGTGCTCACTAGAGACAGGGCGGGGGGTTGGGGAGGAAAGAGAAAGAGAGAAAGCACCTTCAGGGAGGGTGGCCATGTTGCAATGCTGTCTTCATTTTTTCTTTCAGGACTTTAGGTACAGGCACCTGATGTGTTTTTGAGCTGTCAGGTCTGGGGCTCAAACTATATTGATGGCCATGTGGGATCCAGCTGCCTTAACTACCATGCCACTGGCTAACCTGGAAATGTCTTAAAAAAAAAAAAAATAGTATTTTGAGAGACAGACACAAAGACACAGATATAGGGACTTCCAAGGGGTTCTCGCTGTGCTACGAGCCCCCTCCAGCCTTCAGCCAGCCAGGGTCACTGGCACCTGTGAGCACGCTGGAGTGTTCAGGTCACCCTGAGATCCGAACCCTGGCTGGGCCTTCCCTATTGCTCCAGTATCATGCAACAGCAACCGGACTACTACCTTTGCCCTGGTAGCTGGTCTGGAAATACCTTTTTTTGCATTTTTTTTTAATTGCCAGAGGGCTGTGTGTTTTCCATAGAGAAAGATAAAAGTGCCATGGTGGGGTGTGGTCACACCACAATTCCTTCTCCTCCATCTCCCCATCCTATCGGGATTTGGGGCACATGCACACACTTGCCTGGTGTATTTTTCAAGCCATCAGGTCTGGGATTCAAACTGTGCAACAGGCCATGTGGGATCTGGCTCCCTTAACCACCAAGCCATGGGGCTGGCCCTAAAATTTTTTTGGAAATTTTTAGTGATCTCATGCCTTACTCTTTTTTTCTTTTTTGAAGGGTGGAGTGGGGAAAGATTTTTGCTATAGGGTATGTGCGCTTGTGAGAGAGACAGAAAGTGAACAATCACCCTCCAGGGGGATGGTCACACCACAATCCCTTCTCCTCCATTTTCCTCTCAGGACCGTGGACATGCACATGCACATGCCCAGTGTGAGTTTCAAGTCACCGGGTCCAGGATTTGAACCATGGTCTACAACGTGGGAGTCCAGCAACGTAATCAATATGCCATCTGGGGTCCCTCATGCCTTACCCTTTAAACAGTATCTTGCTATGTTGCCCAGGCCAGCCTGAGCTCACAATCCTCCTGGCTCAGCCTCTGAGTTGCTGGGATTTCAGGCACACAACCCCCACCCAGCTGTCAGGTCTGACTGGAAAGTCAACCCAGGTCATCCATGTGTTCCCAGCCTGCAGAGTACACTGCCACGACTGGGTCTCAGTGCCTTTGGACACGGTCTTCTGTCTGGAATACCATTTCTACCTTCTAATTCCTTGATCTGTAAAAATCCATCTGAGAGGAGTCTTTGAAAGCTCATGGAAAACGTGTTTTCAGAAAAACCTATATAAGGGCATCAATCTTTTTACACCAAAATATCCTCATCCTTTAATTTCTCCATAAACTTTTTGAAGTCCTCAGGTTTATCCCATCAGCCAGGTCACCCTCCTTGACCCTCCCTAGCCCACTTCCTCTCCTCAGATGGCATGAAGAGGCTACTCCTTCACACCGTGAGTTTCCTCAAGCACAATTACCACAGCGCTTCTTAAACTACAAATATTAATTCCCTTCTCTCTCTCTCTCTCTCTCTCTCTCTCTCTCCTTCCTTCCTCCTTAACCCTACCAGGCAGCTTCATGATGAGCAGAGCCTGGGGCTAGCAAGTGGCATGGTGGTCAAGATGCTACATTCCCACATGGCCGACTGTGGATCAAGTCCAGGACCCAGCAGCTTGAAAATCACAACAAATAAATATATAAATGTTTAAAAGAAAGAAGAAAAAAAGAACAGAGCGTGTCCTGACTTTTTCACTGTATTTATAGCACAGTACCCAGCATGCAGCGGGCACACCCCAGCTGTGTACTGGGCGAGGGACCCAGCGGGCAGAGTGCATGCTCATGTGGGCTAAACTTTCTCCCTGGGCACAGACTCTGCCACGAGGCTAGCACACAAAGCAGGAACAAATTCATATGGACTGACTGTACTAACCACAGAGGTGGACCTCAGGGGTGCACTGCACATTCGATACTGCAAGGCCTTCGAGGTGTTTCTACCTCGGCGTGACATATCCCACCGGCAAACAACCTGTGCAAGAAGCTTTTCTGTTTGGGTGACCCCAGGATTAACCAGCTGATTTTCTTCCAAGAAGAAGAGATTGTCTTTATATCTGGTTTCCAAACAGGGAGGATAATATGATTCAGCTTTCTGCTGCAGAACATCACATGACACGAGATTAAGGGGGAGAGGTGTCCCGAGATGAGGCGGCTCAGCCCTCAGGGGTCTGCCCTATAGCTCAGTGGTGAAGCGTGGGGCACTGGGAGCTGGATTCCACACCCGCCTGGCCAACTATGGTTCAAATCCCAGCCCCCAGAGCTTGAGAGACAGGCTGGGTGCATGTACTATGTGCCCAGGATCCCAACAGGATGGAGAAATGGAGAAGAATCGAAATGCTCTGTCTCTAGTGAACACATGCGCTCTGTCTGCAGGCCCAGTCTGCTGACACACTGTCACTTCTCAGCTATCTCTTTGACACACGGGTCACCAATCTCGGCGAGAAAGCAGAGATATTTTAGGAAATATGTCCTTTTATTGCTCTTATAAAGAAAGGAGTGAAAGGAAGAAATAAATCGGTGGTTTGGAAATCACACTGGGCCCGTGGACATACGTGTCCAAAATCCTGAGGAGAGAATGAAGACGGGATTGCTATATGGCCTTCTCCCCGGGGGTGCTTTCTCACTCTGTTTCTGGAGAGTGCACGCATCCTATAGCAAATTTTGAAAAATAAAAAATAAAGCAAACATTTTATGGAACTTTATGATGGCTAGTCTAACCTATTATTTAAGCTTATTTAAACTAACCATTATTATTTTTTTTAATTTGCTATAGAGTATGTTCACTCACTGGAAACAAAAAGAGAGATAGAAAGAGACAATGTGAGAAAGCACCCCAGAAGGGATGACCACACCACAATCCCTCCTTCTCTATTCTCCTCTCGGGACTCTTAGGCACGCAAACACACGTGCACAATGTGTTTTTAAGCTGCTAGGTTCGGAAATCGACAGAGCTGGCTATGGGGGATCCAGCCACCTTAACCCCCATACCACCTGGCTGGCCCCTAACCATCACATTCTTACAGCTGAGGAGAACCGAGGTTCAGAAGGACTAAGTAGTATCTGCCAGCACAGGTTACAGTTTGGTAGAGCAGATTTCATCTGAGTCCATCTAATTCTAAAGCAGCGTTGCTTTTTTAACTATACCACAGACCTCTTAAAGAGAAGTATCAAGAATGAAAACGAACATTTCCAGCTGTGGCTGTAGTCTCTGCCACCCCTGCTCAGCAATGCCGTCCAGCCTGGGAGCAGCCATACGTGAAGGAGCGAGGCTGGGACCCAGGGAACTGTAGTTCCATCGCTAGCATCTGAATTCCACACACTTCTCGTGCAGCTGGAAATGCTATTCATTTTTCTCAACCACTTAAAAATATAAAAATCATTCTTAACTCTTGGGCTACACAAAAACAGGTGCCAAGTGGGTTTTGGTCCAGTGGCCAAACTTTCCGGATCCCTGTTCAATACGATAGCTGTGAACAGCAGCCACCATGAGCACATCAAGTGCACCTGGTCCACACTGAGGTGTGCAGTGAGTGTGAAATTTCGAGGAGGGGGGCCAGCAGGCGGCTTGGTGGTTAAGGTGCTGGACTCCCACATGGCTGACCATAGTTCAAGACTGAGGCCCAGCAGCTTTCTTTTACCCTCTCTTTCACTCCCCCTCTCTGTTACTCTGTGGTCAAAGTAAAAATAATAACAATAATAAATCATTTTAAAAAAGAAATTACAAGGAGGTGGCTCTTGTAAAAATGAAAAATCCTTAATAAACTTAAATTCACTATACATGAAAACAGTATTTTTTAGATATACTGGGTTACATAAGAAATATTTAAGCCCACCTATTTCTTTTTACTTTGTTTAATATAATTACTACACAATTTAAAATTACATATCGAGGCTGGTAGGTGGCGTGCTGGTTAAGGGCACTGGACTCCCACATGACCAACTGCAGTTCGAGTCCCGGACCTGGCAGCAGCTTCTTTCTCACTTTCTCTCTCTTATTCTGTCCCTCTCAGGTCAAATTAAAATAGATAAATAAAGATAAATGGAATAATTCCTTTAAAAAGTAAAATAAAGTTAAAAAATAAAATAAAATTACATTATCAGTGAGGTCTAGCAGGTGACATGGTGGACAAGGTAATTGACTCTCACATGGTCAACCACAGTTTAGATCCTGGACCTGGAGGCTTACTTTCTCACCTTCTCCCTCTGTCTCTGGTGAGCACACATGCCATATAAAAAGTTTTTTTGTTTTGTTTTGTTTTTGTTTTTGTTTTTTAATAATAAATGAAAGGGAACCAGCAGTTAATAATGGCTATATCGCTGGACTCCCACGTAGTCAACCGTGGTTCGCGTCCCGGGTCGATGGCTTAAAACACGCTGGGCACATATGCGTGCGTGCCCGAGATCCTGAGAGAAGAATGGAGGAGAAGGGATTGTGGCGTGGCCCTCCCTCCCTGCTTTCTAACTCTGTCTCTCTCCGTCTGTCTGGCAAGCACACGCGCCCTATAGCAAAAACCTCTCAAAAAAAATAATAAATAAATGAAATAAAATTTTTAAAAATTACAAGAGTGTATAATGCTTCGAGTTCCTACTTCCATTGCATTCCTCCCTTTCCTGTTAGGCACGAGTGGCGCAAGGCGAGGGTCATGCACGCCGACTTCTCATTCTCAACGTGAAGACAGCTCGACTGCCAAGATGGTCAATGTACCTAAAACTCGAAGGACTTTCTGTAAGAAATGTGGCAAGCATCAGCCTCACAAAGTGACCCAGTATAAGAAGGGCAAGGATTCCCTGTATGCTCAAGGGAAGAGGCGCTACGTCCAGAAGCAGAGTGGCTATGGTGGGCAGACAAAGCCAATTTTCCGGAAGAAGGCTAAAACCACAAAGAAGATTGTCCTACGGCTTGAGTGTGTTGAACCGAACTGCAGATCCAAGAGGGTGCTGGCCATTAAAAGATGTAAACATTTTGAACTGGGGAGAGATAATAAGAGAAAGGGCCAGGTGATCCAGTTCTAAACTTTCAGATTGCTTTGTTCTCTTAATTTTGAGCAGAAAATGCTGAAGATACAGAAAATTTATCTGTAGAAAAATAAATGGTGATATTCTTAATCAAAAAAAAAAAAGAGTGCATAATGCTACTAATTGTAGTTGTATTAGGTACCATCTTAAAAATCTACTTCCATATTATTTGAATTGTTTTACAACAAGCTTCTATTTATTGAGTCCTTGGAAAAGTCAGGCTGCATTTTCACATAGAAAAACACATCATGGGGACCAGGAGATGGCCTAACAGTTACGATGCTGGACTCCCACGTAGTCAACTGCTGTTTGAGTCACAGACCTAGGAGCTTAAAACTCATGCTGCACAAACACAAACATGCATGCCCAAAGTCCCGAGAGGAGAATGGAGGAGAAGGGACTAAGGAATTGCCATCCCCCCTGGGAAGGACAGGGGTGATTTCTCTGTCTCTCTGGCAAGCACATGCGTCCTACGGCAAAGATAAAACTCTCCGCCCCCCCCCCAAAAAAAAAAACCCATCATGACTTTCCCAGTGACCCAATATTTTTTTATTGATTTTTTTTTTTTTTTTTAGGTTTTTGTTATAGGGTGCATGCACTCACCAGAGAGGGACAGAGAAGTGAGAAATCCCCCCTTCCATGTGGGATGGCCACACCACAATCCAGTACTTTAACCACCATACCATCGGCTGTCCCTTATGTCAGTAATGCAGATTATAATAAAACAATGCATGGACTTCAAGTACCACATGAGCTTGTACTTTAATTCCATTTTCCATCAACTTTTTAAAAAAATATTATTTATTTGTATTTATCATTATTATGTCTTAATTTGACCAGATACAGAGAGAGACAGAAAGCAAGCCTCCAGATCCAGGAATTGAACCATGATAAGCCACGTGGGAGCACGACACCTTAACCACCATGCTACCTGTTGGCCCCAAAGAGAATGTATCTTTTTTTTTTTTTTTTGGAGAGGTTTTCACTATAGGGCACGTGCGCTCACCAGACAGACAGAGAGAGATAGAGAGACAGAAAGCGAGAAATCACCCCCCAGGGGGGATGGCGATGCCACATTCCCTTCTCCTCTGTTCTCCTCTCGGGATCTTGGACATGCATGCACACGCGCCCGGCATGAGTTTAAGCCACCGGGTCCAGGACTCGAACCGCGGTCGACTACATGGGAGTCCAGCAACATAGCCATTATGCTAACTGCTGGTCCCTCCATCAACTTTCTAAAGTCCTCTCATATGGGTGATATTTTTTTCCCTCATATTTTAACATCTTGTTCTTTTATAAGATCTATATTTATGTGGTCCTGATTCTTACTAAATATTTAAAGTACACAAAATATTTATCAATTGCTGCATATTTTTTATAAATCAAGGCAGAGGAAAAAACATTTTTGGTTTTGTTTGCTGTAAGACGTGCGTACTCTCCAGAGACAGAGAGAGAGAGAGAAAGTGAGAGAAGGTGAGAAATCAACCCCAAGGAGTACGGCCACGTTGCAATCCCTTCTCTATCATCCCATCTGGGATTTTGGGCACGCATGCACATGTGCCCGATGTGGTTTTTTGTTGTTGTTGTTGTTTAGAGGTTTTTGCTATAGGGCGCATGTGCTCGTCAGACAGAGAGGGACAGAGAGACAGAAAGCAGGAAGTCACCCCCCAGGGGGGATGGCCACACCGCAATCCCTTCTTCTCCATTCTCCTCTTGGGATCTTGGGCACGCACACACACACGCCCGGCGTGAGTTTAAGCCACCAGGTCCAGGACTTGAACCGCAGTCGACTACGTGGGAGTCCAGCGACATAGCCATTACGCTAACTGCTGGTTCCCCCAATGTGTTTTTCAAGCCACCAGGTCTGGGACTCGAACCGTGTACTTAGCCAAGTAGGATCCAGTCGCCCCCAACCTCCATGCCACCTGCTTGCCCAAAGCAGAAAAAAAAATTTTTTTAAAGAGATATTTTTGCTACAGGGCATATGTTCTCTCTGGATGAGAGAAACAGAGCTACAGAAAGCAAGATATCACCCCCCGCCCCCCTAGTGGGGACAGCCACACACCAATCCCTTCTCCTCCATTTCTCCTCTCGTGATCTTGGGCATACACAAGCATGAGTTTCAAGTCGCTGAGTCCAGGACTCGAACTGCAGTCAACTACATGGGAGTCTAGTGACTTAACCATTATGCTATCTGCTGGTCCCAGGCAGAGGAAAATTTATCATTTTTTTTCTTCCTATAATTTTTCTTGAGTCTTTACATCAAAATATCCACAAGAGACACAACTTGAACACAGGGAAACGGGCAAGCTACATGTAGAAAGCCAACACCAATTTGTGATTAGACTTTCTCGGACATGAAAAGCATCTGATTTTCATGAATGTTTCCCTAAATTAATTTCTTATCTATAATTGAAAATAATGCACATGGTATATTAAACATACAGAACGTTTTCTATTTCTCCTTCAGACATGGGCATAGAACAGACCCCTTGATTTGTTCATAGAGATCTATGACAAACCAATCCCTTTATGCCACATACGTTTTTTTCACGAGCTGAGCACTTAAACGACACTTGTACCTACTAAACCTGGGTTTTATGTGGAGATGGTTTCAGAGGGCTCTGGAAACCCCAGGTTTCTGTTCGATCCTCCAATGTCTTTAGAAAGCAATTTCTAAACCACCATTTCCACTACCCTTTTAATCTCTGCAAATCGTCGGTAAGAGCTGCACCAAGGCAGTCTGCCATCAATTACGCTCACAACAGCGGCTCAATCATGTATGCACTGCCGCTGATTAGCCTCAAGAAATACTGCGTTCCAGGCACCAAGTCTAGAAAAAATAACCACTTATAGGGAAACAAAACTTCACACAGGTAATAATGTCCATTTGGAGCTTTCCGTTTTGTGTTATAATGTAAAGCATATAAAGAATACATTAAGACATATTCCATTATCCAAATCCTGTAACATTTTTTAGTTGCCAGAGATTGTGTGCCTTAGAGCAAGCAAGAGAATGCGTCCCCCAATGGGGCATGGTCATGTCACAATCCCCTCTTCTATTCCTCCATTCTGTCAGGATTCAGGGCATACACACACACATACCTGGCAGGCATAGTTTTCAAGCCAGAGGGTCTGGGACTTGAACCAGTCAGCCACATAGATTCAGCTTTCTATGCAGAGCGCTTAACTGCTATGGTACAGGACCAGCCCCTAGAATAATTCATTTGTAACATTTAACCTTAACATATCCTTCACAGTTCAATAGTTATTTGTATCACTAAAATATATTTTTTTTAATTAGATACTTTTTTTTGCCATATAATTCTTTAAAAAAAGGGATCATCTGTGTTTGTTATTTTTATGGTTGAGATAGTCCTGTTATTTTAACTTTGGATATACATTTTTTTATGTTGGAAAAGGTTAGATCTACCGCAAATGGGACCTTTTTCTCCTCTTGGATAATCATGTATTTTAAAAAACCCAGTGCATACCAATGGTTAACTGCTTTCATTCATGCTGTTCTTCATTTTCTCAAGCAATTCTTATTTCTCTGGCCAATTTCCAAGCTTGTAGCTTATGAAACATTTGTGAGATTTCTGTGATTTCTAAAAACAAAGTATCGGTTTTAATCACCTTGGCAGTATGATCCCCAGAGTGAGGAGAGCAAACTGCCTGTTACATTTAGAACTTCATCTTTGAAAAGTTAAAGTAAACAGAAGACTTCCTGGAGTCAGCTTTCATTATTAGCTCACTTCATACACTGGCTATTTGGGGGCAATGATTAGTAAACCGCAAGTCCACCTGACAGAGTTGTTGTGGTTTAAGACTTTCCTGAGTTAAGTTTTTAAGTTTTTTCCTTTTTTTGAAGAAAACTTATGAGGCCGCTTTGTTAGCTGAGTGGTTCTGTGGCACTCACTGTCTGAATAAAATAGATGAAAGAAACTGTTTTATAGTGAGCCTTAAGGTAAATCATCAAAGTAATAATTACTTTAAATCGGGGTGGCAGGTGGCGTGGTGGTTAAGGACCTTGGCCTCCCCCATGGCCAATCGTGGTTAGAGTCCTGGACCTGGTGGCTTGCTTGCTCGCTCTCTCCCTCTCTCTCTCTCTCTCTCTCTCTCACACACACACACACACACACACACACACTCTGTCCTTCTCTGGTCAAATTAAAATAAATGAATAAAAATAAAATAATGGAAAAGAATTACTTAAAAAATAATAATAAATAAAAAGAAAAGAAAAAATAATTACTGTAAATCCACCCAAACTCATGATTTATAAGGCAAATACTAGCCTGCTGCTTCCTTTTGAGCACAATTCTCAATCTAGAATTCAGACAGCTACATACCCCTAGCTCTCAAATACCTCAGTATTAGCAGAACACAGGAGAACGATGACCAGAATTGGGCCCATTATTCTTCTCTAATTATGCTGTCATAGTTCCTTCTCCTAAAGTGGCCATGGTAAAACTTCATTAATAAATGCAATGACCTAATATTCATTTTACCAAAATATCCAAACTTGGAGTTCTCCTTAAAGTAAGTGACAGCCACACAGATGCCCATTACCTGGCTTAGGTGTCAACTGGATACCTTCATGACCATTACAAATTAATTTCTAAAGGTAAGGGGATACTGAAATGTCTTTCAGGAGAGATTTTACATTAAACTCACCAAACCACTTCGATTGGAAAAATTGATAGTGTGTGAGAAGAAACTTACAAAAGCATGTTTAAAAGCTATATGTATCCACTCTAGGTAGAAGATATAAAATAACGGGTTCTTCCTATGAGATAATACAGAGAAATATGGCTTTCCTTAAAATTCAAAGAACTATTTTTCCTATAAAAGAGTCATTTAATGACATTCTAAAACATGCAAAAAATGCCAGAGATATTGTTCGATGAAAATATCACTATTCCAGAGGTTGGTAGGTGGTGTGGTGGTTAAGGGCACTGGACTCCCACATGGCTGACTGTGGTTCAAGTCCCAGACCTGGCAGCTTCCTTTCTCATAGCCCTCCTACCCCCGACTCTGTCCCTCTCTGGTCTAATTAAAACAAAGAAATAAAATTAAATAATTCTTTTTTAAAAAAGAAAA